GGAAAGGTCACGGAAAGTCCATTTTTTGATTCCTCGACACCAGAATATAAGCTCGGATCTGTGATTATGGATATTGCAAATCATACGCTTTTTAAACCCCCACGTTTTACTGAAGAAAATGCAGCTAAAACAGTCCGTGTTTTCCTTAAACTTCAATATGCCAACAAAGGAATTGACGAGGTTAATATAAGTAATATTCTTAATCACAAAAGGGTCCAGTTTTGTATTCCATGGATTAAATGTATCAGATGTATGTTAAAATCGCGCATTAAAAGATTGAGGAGCAATATGAGAACCATCTATCCTTCTGTATTCAATAATCCAGAAGTGAAAAAAGAATTTGATAAATTACATGATCAGTACGTACTGGTTCCTGCTGACAAAGCAGGTAACAACATTGTTTTTGTTTGTAAGGTTCAATATATATTAAATGTATTTGAGAGGAACCTGGATTTAATTCTACAAATGCTAATCCAACTTATACTCATAGTTCCCTTACTAAGGAAGAAATTCTTCAAAATAATGTCAGTTTTGAATATTTTTAATATTCCAAACAACCCAAATGAATTTGAATTACCATATCTTTATTGGATTTCGAAACTTCATAAAAATCCTTACAAACAAAGGGTTCCAGTAAATGTTCAACCAAACCTCTTTCTTTACTCCTCACTAAGATATTAACAGTAGTTAAGGAGAAACTTCAAGAGTACTGTGCAACAATATATTAGAGAAGTGGTGTAAATCAGATGAGATACTTAAAAATTCCAAGGAACTTTTGGAAAATTTGAAATCACAAGAATTTACCAAAATCAACAGCTTAAAAACTTACCACTTTTCAACTTTCTACACAACCAGTCCAGACTTTTTGATATCATTGACAGCTGTTTTTTTCAATAAAAATGGAACTCGCAAACTTACCTACCTTGTCATTGGTCGTTTGCAAAATTATTTTGTTAAAAAACATTGATTGTACACACAAGAACTCTGAAGTTGACATTAAAAAGATGCTTGAGTTTCTGATTGACAATATCTATGTGGCTTTTGGAGACCAGGTCTTCCAACAATCTATTGGAATTCCTATGGGTACCAATTGCGTCCCGTTATTAGCAGACCTTCTCTTGTATTCATATGAAGCAGAATTTGTCCAAAATCTTATACGTGAAAAGAAGAAAACTACTTGCTGTGGCCTTCAACTCGACATTTAGATATATCGACGACGTATTGTCAATTATCAATGGTTATTTCCATTATTATGTCAATACGATATATCCCGGTGAGCTAGAGATAAAAGATACCACAGTCTGACACATCTGTTTCATATTTGGATATTTTACTTGAAAAAGACTTTAATGGTAATCTAACAACAAAGCTTTATGATAAACGTGATGACTTTAACTTTTCAATCGTCAATTTTCCTTACTTATGCAGCAATATACCTTTATCACCTGCATACGGGGTTAATTTCTCTCAGTTGATTCGATACGCAAGAGCATGCTCTACGTATGCACAATTTCTAAAACGAGGTAAATTTTTGACAAACAAGTTGATGAAACAAGAATATCAGCAGTGTCGACGTCGTTTAAAGTCATCATTTTGTAAGTTCTTTGGTCGATACAATGACCTTGGTAATACAATTTATCATTGAGTCAAATGCTGACTGACGTTTTTCATACAAATTGTTAGGACATTATTTACACACAGAATGGTCGACGGATTTTTCCGTAATAACCCGATAATGACAAGGACCACAGTGCGGGTGTGATCGGTCGGCAGGGGATGCTCACGCCTCCATGGCACCTGATCCCATCTCTGATGTTTACGAGGTCCGTGTTTGCTCTGCTCCTATTTTGTATTGTTTAATGGACTTTTGAGCTTGAATACTGTTCGTTATCTCCATATATTTCATAGTGTATATTCTAAATTGTTTAAATCATGACCCCTTATGGAAGGGTGTGGCCACAATGAGGAATCAAAGTTTTACATTGAAATATCTAAGAAAAATCTTTAATAATCTTCTTCTCAAGAACCAATGGGCAGGAAAAGCTGAAACTCATGTAGAAGTATCCTGAGATAGTGTAGATTTTAAATTCTTCAAATGTAGACCCCGAGGGAAGGGTGGGGCCACAATGGGGAATCAAAATTAAACATTGAAAATATATAGGAAAATTTTTTAAAAATCTTTTTTCTCAAGAACCAATGCGCCAGAGAAGCTAAAACATGTGTGGAAGTATCCTTGGTAGTGTAAATTTTTAATTGTTCAAATCATGACCCCCCATTGGAAGGGTGGGGCAACAATGGGGAATCAAATTTTTACATTGAAATATAAAGGATACCTCTTTCAAAATCTTCTTCACAAGAACCACTGAGCCAGAAAATCTGAAACTTATGTGGAAGCATTCTGTGGTAGTGTAGATTCTAAATTGTTCAAAAGCTGACTTGGGGCCACAATGGGGAATCAAAGTTTTACATTGAAATATGTAGAAAAAATCTTTTTTCAAGAACACTAAGCCATTAGGGCTGAAACATGTTTAGAAGTATCCTTGGGTAGTGTAGATTCTAAATTGATCAAATCGTGGCCCCCATAAGAAGGGTGGGGTCACTATAGGGAATCAAATTTTACATTCAAATATTTAGGGAAAATCTTTAAAAATCTTCTCAAGAACCACTTTGCAAGAAAAGCTGAAACTTATATGGAAGTATCCTGGGATAGTGAACATTCGAAATTGTTCATATCATGACCGCTGCCGGAAGGTGTGGCCACAATGGGGAATCAAAATTTTACATTGAAATATAGAGAAAAAAATCTTTAAAAAAAATCTTCTTCTCAAGAACCAATGGGCTATAAAAGCTGAAACTTATGTGGAAGCATTCTCGGATAGTGTAGATTCTGAATTTTTAAATCATGACCCCTTGGGGAAAGGTTGGGCCACAATGGGGAATCAAAGTTTAAGATTGAAATATCTTTAAAAATCTTCTTCTCAAGAACCACTAGTCAAGAAAAGCTGAATCTTACACGGAAGCATCCTGGGATAAGGTAGATTCTAAAATGTTCAAATCATGACCCCTGGAGGAAGTGTAGGGCCACAATGGGTAATCAACTTTTTACTTCGAAACATCTAGGAAAAATCTTTTGAAATCTTTTTCTCAAGAACCACTGGGTAAGAAAAGCTGAAACATGTGTGGAAGCATCCTGGGGTATATTAGATTCTAATTTGTTCAAATCATGGTCCCCATTGGTATGGTGGGACCATAATGGGGAATCAAAGCATACCCTGCTGACCGGTCACACCCGACGTGTGCTCCTTTTCATGAACGGGAAATTACGGGAAAATCTGTCGACAATTAAGTTTGTAAATAATGACCTAGGAATTAGTATGAAAAAAGTCAGTAAGCATTTGACTCAATGAAAGATTGTATTTGCTGACAAGGTCATTGTATTCACAATAGAACTTTTGAAATGATGACTTAAAAGGAGAATGCTGATATTCTTGTTTCATCAACTTGTTTATCAATAAATTACCTCGTTTTAGAAAGTGTTCATACGTAGAGCATGCTCTGGCGTATCGAATAAACTGAGATATATGAACTCCGTATGCAGGTTATAAGGGTATATTGTTGCATAAGTAAGGGAAGTTGACGATTGAAAAGTTAAAGTCATCACGTTTAACATAAAGCGTTGCTGTTAGATTACCATTAACGTCTTTTTCTAATAAAATATCCAAATATGAAACAGATGTGTCAGACTTTGTGGTATCTTTTATCTCAAGCTCACCGGGATATATCGTGTCGACATAAGAATGGAAATAACCATGGTTACATGTAATTGACAATACGTCGTCGATATATCTAAAAGTCGAGTTGAAGGCCACAGCAAGTGTTTTCTTCTTTTCATTCACGTAAAAGATTTTGAAAAAAATTCTGCTTCATATGAATACAAAAATAAGTCTGCTAATAACGGGGGAGGGGGGGGGGGGCAATTGATACCCATGGGAATTCCAATAGATTGTTGGAAGACCTGGTCTCCAAAAACCACATAGATATTATCAATCAGAAACTCAAGCATCTTTTTAATGTCAACTTCAGCGTACTTCTGTGTACAATCAAATTGTTTTTTTTACAAAGTTATTTTGCAAATGACCAATGACAAGGTAAGTAAATTTACGAGTTCCATTTTTAATGAAAAAGCAGCTGTCAACGATGTCAGAATGTCTAGACTTTAATTTATCATGGGAAATCTTTAGGAATCTTTTTTTTTTTCAAGAACCACTGGGCCAGAAATGCTGAACATGTTTGGAATCATTCCGGAAAAGTGTAGATTCTAAAGTAATCAAATCATGACCCCTGAGGGAAGGGTGGGCCACAATGGGGAATCAAAGTTTTAAAATAAAACATATAGGAAAAATCTTTAAAAATCTCCTTCTCAAGAACCACCGGGTCAAAAATCTGAAACTTATGTGGATGCATCCTGAGGTAGTGTAGATTTTAGTGTAGAATCATGGCTACCGGGGGTAGGATGGGTCCACAATACGTATTAAAAGGATGAAAATCTTTTGCAGAACAGCTGGGCCAAAGATAGTCAGGTTAGCATTGTGGCTCATAGGCCTCTTGTTCAACTTACTTTGATTTTACTTCCATTACGTTCCAGAAACACATCTTGACGACAGAACAATGGCTAATAAGAGGTCTATGTAGATGCATACATATTTATTTCCATTGAACATGTAGATGTACAGAATAATTTTTAAAATACATCAGCTTGTTTTCTTTTTTAATATTTAACTTCATTTCAAAAACGCTTAACTACAATTTTAAAAAAAAGAGTGATTATATTGGCCTTATCATTTTAAGTTTTCTTATATTGAGTAATCAATCTATGGTGAATGCAATCTCCAAGTGAAATACATGTACATGTAATTGGTTAACAAGGAAACGATTTCTTTATGATAAAAATCCAAAAGGTAAAGGAACATCAGAAATTTTATGCAATCTTTTTTTTACAGATCTTATCACAAGCAAAGACATTCCAAAGAAAGTATTTAGTGTATGGTATGAAAGACTTTCCTTCCAAGATGAACATTTAAGAGATATTGTGTTGTAAAAATCTCAAATATTAACTATGGACTGAGCAAAATCAAAGATAAAAAAAATTGTTAAACAGTATATATAGCATAAAAATAGAATAAAATTCAGGAAAAAAATCAAAATATTTTGGCATTTTTATATCTCAATGTCAAAAAGGGGTACATATTCTTTAACCTTAATTATGTCGTTTTCTGAATGGGAGGAGACATGTATAGCTCAATTTTTTTTAACCTGACATTCTTTCGTGAAATATCTAAATGCACATTGGGAAAATAATATTATTGTTTAAGAAGGACGTAAACAAAAGATAGGAATTTTGCAATTCTATTAAAGTTTCTACATTCATAATTGAAATTTCCTTTTCAGATATTGAGTTGCTCTGTCTATTGCACGAAAAACAGAAAAACAGTCTTAATATCACTAAGTTTAATAAGAATTAAGTTTTCAAATATGTTTTAGAATTGAGTACTATTGAGAAGCGCTGAAGTGTCTTCAGTATGTCATTTTTCCCATTGCCATTTCTTTTACTTATATATATATATATATATATATATATATATATATATATATATATATATATATATATATATATATATATATATATATATATATATATATATATATTAGGGATGTCAAATCGGTCAATTTTTGATAATCGGTTACTCGGACGTTTTTCCGATCAAGTACCCGGGTACTCGGTAAAAATGTAAATACAAGTGTGTTAATTTTCTTGAGCTACGTTAAACCCCAAAGCTGTTTTATCACGTTTATTAATGTATATAAACACTGATTCCAACGTGAATGATTTTTGGTACTAAATTTATTTATCAAATAAACACAAAAGACATAATTATTACATCAAAAATTACAAATGGTTAACAGTTCTTGTTTAGAATCTATTTCATCAAAAGGAGGACAATTTGTTACGCAGGTTTGTGATGATTAGACTAGCGAAAGAGAAGGAACGAACGTTATTGGGATTGCTAGTCTAATATTATAGTAAGTTTTTACTTCGCAAACTGACTTTCAACATTTTTTTAAAAATATTTAGTTATTTCTAAATATTTCTTCACTTTTGAAGTGGGTAGCGGCATTTCTATGCATGTCCGATTTCGCTGCCGTATATTACTAACTAATTTAAAAATGATTTGAAGATAATAGACCATTGATATTCACTGATAACAATCATTGAAGCCATCCAAAACTTAAGGACTACAATAGGTGAGAACGGCTGGGTGATTGGTCATTAATTAGTGTATATACACAGCCAAAGGCGATAATGGATGTTTTACAGGTGTAGAAGACTGCACGCTTTAATTACCGTATACAAATTTAAGCTAGTTTTTGATAAAAATAAGTACTTTGAATTAAGAAAAAATACATATCCGAGTAACCGAGTACCATTTTTAGTATTCGATACTCGGACGTTCGATCGAGTACCCGGTTAACCGGGTACTCGTTGACATCCCTAATATATATATATATATATATATATATATATATATATATATATATATATATATATATATATATATATATATATATATATATATATATATATATATATATATATATATATATATATATATATATGTATGTATGTATGTATGTATGTATATACGTATGTATATGTGTATATTTATGCATGTATATTTACTAGCAACATACGTATTTCCAAAATGTGCATTTAATTAGTTCACAGAAGCATGGTATTTCGAGCTGTAGATTTTATCTTGGCTTTTCGTAAGGCAGTATGTTCATCTGTCTGCCCTCTTTATTTCTAAAATCGTGCCAAGCCATACTTATCTAACCTTTGATTGGAATTCATTCATGCTTTAGTATGTTGCTGCACTTCAGAAAATCACATATTATCTTGATTCAAAGTGCAATAAAAATGAGATACGTGTATTGAAATAGTATCCAGGAGTTTACAACGAGACTGTTGAGAGTTTACAACTAGACTGTTGATTGAATTAATTCAAACTTGCTTAATATGTTGTTACGTAGGACCCAAAGGTGTGTTTACTTTTTCTGTTTAACCTTCTAACTATTTCGAAGAGGACAAATGCTTTCAGGTGCATTTCTTTGACATATATTTACCATAGATAACGATACCTTACTATAGTTTACCGTTGTATATACTTCATTACTTTGATAAACTATGCATGTGCTTTGACTAGATCTTTGATCCTTTACGAAGACCTTTTAATTTGAGAATAACTGAAAGGAAAAACAATAAGCAAATTTGAATGTCGTGGTAAAATTACTTTGATTAACTTTTGAAAAAACTTGATTGTGTTTCTTAATTTGATACTATAAGATCCATACTATGTTTTAGCAATCATAACTTATTTTAATTATGACTACTGATGTGATTTCAGAATGTATATCTCATTGCCTATTTAAGTCCAAAGATATTAAAATCCTTGTAAATTTACACTCCAATGTAAACTCAAAAACAATACTTTTATTAAACATATGCTTACAATGCGCAGTGCAGATATAAAGATACCACATTAATGTTAGCTTGTGTATTGTCTAAATCTTAATAAAGCACTCAAATTTCATGCATATCATAATAATATAGAACTACTAGCTCCAATAGAAGAATTTCACCTATCAGTTAACTAAACCCATTCAAACATCTTCATCAAATTATCATCAAACTATAAGGATTATGATATGACCTTTGCTCAATACAAAGCTGTCTGTTTTTCAAAGCATGTTCCATGTTCTGTTGAGTCATTTGATTTCGTGGTGGCTCAACATTCGTTGAAATTGTGGCTACCAAGCATCCAAAAACTCGCATCCTCAACGAATTTATAATTAAATTTTGGGGTTATAAGAGTCATCTTTCTTTTTGCAGATTTTCTGTGACAGGAGAGTAGGATTCTACCAGCACTTTTCATAACATAGTGATGTTTTTATATAATTATTTTTGGAAAAAGAAATGATTTATCCCCGGGGTAGTGTTGAACTTTTCACTTTTTCATTAAGGCATTTCTTTCTATTTATAGACGTCACATGATGACGTCGTAGTGGAGTGCTTCTTTCAGCCTAAGACTTTATGACGTCTATGCAATAGATAATAATAGTAATTGTTTTATCTATGGCTTTTCCGATAAATCAACGATTTAATCAAAAAGTCTAAATTCGCCGAAAAATGATCTGGGTACTACATGTACCTTGTTATACCTGTGCACCTAAAATTATGTTCAGTTTGACCGGAAGTAAAGTCGATTGTCGAAAATATTGTCGGACGTCTCCAATGACTTAAATCATTCAATTTCGTGCCAATGACTGCAAAAATAAGCCTTTTCTGACTACTTCCGGTTTGATCTAAACTGGCGTCGATCAACGAATATTGAGATCAGACCCTAAATCACCTCATATCGTGTAAAAAAAACTGTAAAATATCATTTTTGACTACTTACGGTATGACCGGAAGTGACATCATAAGACGGTTATTGATGATCTAACTACCTGCCACGTTATTCTGAACAACTTTGCTATAACATTAAAAAGTTTCAATAGTTATTGAAATATTCGGAAAATACTTCTAGATCCCTTATTTTTGGGGCCGGTCCCTTTTTGTTGATGTCAAATGAAAGAACTTGTAATTTTGCACAAATTTTGTTCAATATGTCTGAACAAATTTTTTACGCGTAAAGAAATATTGCAGAAAAAAAAAAACGCTGAAAAATTTGAAATGTTTGATATTGTTTTTTTTTTTTCGCACAATGGCGAGCGTGGATGTCGGCATTTCCTGTAAAATTGAAATACCTTACGCACATCTAAGAAATCTCGTGCAAAAATCGGTAAGAAAAAGAAACCAATACTAGTAACTAGAGCAAAGCTAATTGCTGGACAAACAACCAGGTCTTCCGTCCGATTCGACGAAGAAAATAAAGGACTAATGATGGGAAATCGGGATTTTTTTTTATAATCGATTATCGAAATACTCGGATGCACTATAATCGATTTATAATTAATTGATTTCAAGTATTAATTTTGTTCATTTTTGAATGAAGAATAAATGGGTAAAAAATTCAGGAATGATTTCTAAAATGCAGTTTTGATGTATTTTGTATCATTGGACACATTTATTCAATTATTACTTAGGATATAATTTAAAGAACTAATTAAGAATTCATAGGAATAATTTGCATTAAACTAATATTTTGATTAATCGGTTTTCAAAATTATAATCGCTTATCTTTAATCGGAGGCCATTTCAATTGGATAATCGATTAAATTGATTTATCGATTCATCACTATGAACGACAGTAAGCCAAATCACTATGTAAAAAAAATCTCTTCTGAACAGCATTTGAATAGAAATGTCCTTCAGAGACCTTAATCACTCAATTCCATGGAGATATTTGTGAAAATAAGCCACTTGTGAATACTCCCTGTTTGACCGGAGATGATGTCGATATTAAATGAGGTCAGTCATCTTAAGTGATTTTTTAACTTTCAATTAAAAATATATATGCAAAATGTCGATATATGCAAACAAAATTCTTTCCTAAACACTTCCGGTTTGACCCGAAGTGACGTCGGTCGAAGATAAATGAAGTCTGATGGCTTTAAATCGCTAACCACAGAAAAATCTGCAATATCTGCATACCTTCTTCAACCATCGGGGTCATGATTTGAACAAACTGGAATCTACACAACCTGATAATGCTCAAAAATAGATATGACTAATCATGGCTTTCCTTTTTTAAAAAAAAAAAAAAAAAGATTTTTTTCATAAGAATTCCTATATAAAACTTTGATATCTTAATGTGGCCCCATCCTACCTTTGGGTCATTATTGCAAATTTTAATTTACACTAACTGAAAATACTTCCATATAAACATGACTCACCATGGCAATCCTGTTTTTAAAAGAATAATTTTTAAAGATGTCTCCTATGTATGCCTTTGAAAAACTTTGATCGCCCATTGTGGCCCCACCCTACCCCTGAGGTTCAAGATTTGAACAAATCTGAATTTTTCACTACCCAAGGATGCTTCTATATATATATATATATATGACTATCATGACTTTGCTGTTCCTGGAAAAATATTTTTCATCTGTATTCCAGTGTAAAACTGGACAATAGTGAATATTTTTAAAGAATTTTCATGTTTTTCTGTTTTTTCTACCGGTATATATACTTTGATTGTCCATTTTGCCCCTTCCCGACCTATTGGGGCCATGATTTGAACAAATCTGAACCTTCACTACCTGAGGATGCCTGATTGCTCATGACTTTGCAGTTCTTGACAAGAAGATATCATTTTTTTCCCCTATATATGTACCTATGAAAAAAAATTGATTGCCAATAGTGACTCCACACTATCCCGAGGATCGTGATTTTAACAGACTTAAATCTACAGTAGGTCAGGAAGCTTTCATATATTTTTGCCAAGTTGTTCTTAAGAATATGTAAATGTCACTACTTATTTATTTTTTATTTCTTAATACATTCCCCTTGGAAGAGGGTGTTGCTCTTAATTTGAACAAAATTGAATCCACTTTATTCAAAGATATTCTGTGCCAAGTTTGGTTGAAATTGGCCCTCTGGTCCTGGAGAAGAAATTTAAATTATAAAAGTTTATGATGACAAAAACAACGGCGACAGACAAAAGTCAATTTTGATCAGGAAAGCTAACTTGAGCTTCGATCTGGCTCAGGTTATTTAAAAAAGTACAGCAGGATTCAGTAACAGGTGCTTTGTTGACTTTGAATTGAGATTGGGCATTACTTTAATTTTTAATTTAAAAGGTGCATATTATTCATGCCCTATGCACTGGAGTCAAGAAATAAGCAAACATGTACACATTTGTATTCATTAAAATAACTCTCAAGAACAAAATCATACTTTTAAATTACACTTCTTACATGTTCTTGGTTTAAGGCCTAAAAGTTTTCGTGTTTGATGATAACACATTTCAATGATGATAAAACATTTGAAAAGTTTACTGTCTGTAATAATAATTCAATATTTTTCTCTGCTGCATAAATCTAAGATTTCAGTGTCAACAAGAATAACACTAATCCTGCTAAAAGAGGGATTATTGTACACTGATCTACCTCTGTCGACATTTACATGTCAATTTCCTCCAAAACACTTAATATTTGGTTCCTAGCTTCATCTGATACAGTCACATTTTCAAATCTAGATTTCTCCCCATTTTGTTTTGTTTTTTTGTTTTTTTTTTGTATTTGCTTGTCCTTGGAATTTTATTTTTGTATACATGTGTCCCACGCATCTCAAGATCTTGCATGCATCCCATTTACTGTTAACCAGTACAAAAAAGTTCCTGAGTACCTCCTACTCAGGAAGATAAATGATTTCTTTTGAAGCTCTTGTCATACAATATAAAATATACATAATAAGCCATTACAATGATTGTTTGTTCTATGCACATTCGTTAAGTACATTGTACTAAGCACTATCCATATAAGACCCAAGAAAAAGTTACGCCTATTTGTAAAAATTATGTTAGTGAGCAGAATTACAATTTTTTTCCTTTTGTCGTAAGTCCATATTTGCAAAGTTAGTTGTCCAGTTTGTAGATTTTTAGAAACTACGAGGGGTTATCAAAAAGTTCGTGGACTAGCGTCATAAAATTAAAACCGCTTTAGGTACATCAATGAATTTTTACACATTAAGTTAGCATCATCTTCTCTATCTATAGAATAAACCATAAATCATAATTTTTATTTTTTAATAAATTGTTAGTGTTTTTGTAAGCAAAGGTATGTCCAGGCGGCGCAACCTCTAATATGACGTTTTTTTCTACCTGATTGTAACTGAGAAAAACTCTTTAGATATGAGTATTTGTCATAAAAAAATCTCGTTAATTCAGGCATGTGGTACGACACATTTGTTCAGTAAAATTTGCAATTTTTACCCCATTCTGTAATTTCTATGAAATTTTATCGTAAATTTTATATGGAGTGTCCAAACAATTATGGGCTTGAAAATAACGTCAAAAGGGGGGAGGGGTTTCTTTTTCAAACACTCTATAGAGTTTCGCTCCTGGAAAAACTGGTATTGACCTAAGGAATTTTAAACTGGCTACAGAAAAATAAAATGCATCCAGAGTACTTGTTTTTTAATGCCCAAAAAGATTCAGAGAGATGAAATATGCACAGTTAGTGTCGATTTGTAGTCAGGGTGTCAAAAGTCAGTCACGTCGAAAAGTGACGTTGATCATGTGTGGTAGAAATTGAACTCCAACAAGCTAAGTATTCTGGCATAATCAAGTGAGGATCTTTCCCCATATAAAGATCCATTTACAATATTATATGCATTGAAAAAAGCTGCTCATGACATTTTAAATTCATATAAATAAGACGAGTTTAAGTCCTTACTCAACTCCAGGTAATCTCATTAAGATAAGTGTATGAGGTAGAGAGAGCGGACATTAAGAAACAATGACGTTAAGCGGACGTCATGACACTAAACGGCGACAGCGCCGGGTGATCACATAAAGTCTTTTTAATTTCAGAATAATTTGGCAAATTTTCAACGTATCAAGCTAAAATTTTCAACATTTCTTAAACTTTTGTTGTTTTATGTTCCGCATAAATTTTGTAAGCAAAGACTACATATTATTAATTTTATCGCGTCAGTCCACGAACTTTTTGATAACCCCTCGTATGTTTGAAATCCTAAACAAATCAAACAAACTATCACATTTTGATATCTATCTCGGAATTTGCGTGAATTAATGTTATATATGTGTATATATATATACATTTTATCAATTAACAATATAAATTTTGATTATATGTCGACTCGATATATCCACTTGAACTCAAAATAAAGGACACAAAAGTGTCTGGCGCATATTTTTCATACTAAGATGTTTTACTAACTAAAGACGTTAGTGTACAACTTACATCAAAATTTACAACAAACTGCATTAGTTCAGTTTTTCTCATCAACTTTATTAATATAGTAATATTCTACTTTCACCTGAAAAATGGTGTTTATGTCTCCCAAATGAATGGTTACAAAACCCCATGAACATCAATTTTTAAATTTTAAACGGGCTTTCAACATATTCATTAAAAGTCAACAATTCGAAAATTCTAGTGTCGTTATAATGACCTTCTTGGCAAATATGATAAGAAGGTTGTCCCAGTAAAACGCAAATGTTTTCAATATTTTTGTTGATTAATATTATAAAGTTAAGATTGGCATGCATCAAAATCAACATTTTTAAAAAACAAAATGAAATTACAACAAAATATCTCTATAAAAATATTTTCCTCTCAGTCATATTAATCCTACATGATAGTTGTTAGCGCAACATCGACAATGATGTCGATTCTGAATTTGCTAAAAAAATAAGTGCATCTTTTCTTTAGAATTTTAAAATTTGATTTACGCAATCCTTGAATTTACCTATTTACCTATCCTTCACCTATCCTTGAAATATCAGAGGCTTCGAAAGATTCCGAAAATAGATTCTTTGAACAGACGACTTTCCAAATCCGATCATGAACTCTCCTCCTCCTCCACAGCAAACTCCTTACTTTTCATTTGGTCGTCATATGATTGGTCTTTTAAGCGCCTATATCAGTGGATAATTAGTCTAGTCCTACTTATTCCTCTTGTGTCAGGTATGAAACAATGTCCAAGACATGTGTTTGTGTCGTTCCATCGTTTCCATCTTATTTCCTGTATGAATAGGAGGCGTATCTCGCTCAATCCAGTACAGTACTGAACTAGTTAAGATAAATGCATAGCATCAAATCGGTCCCCAAATTATAAACATTGCAAAGTACTTCCACAAAATAAATAAATAAATTTTAAACAAATAAAACAAACACAAGTGAATTTTTAAACGTAAAGTTTTAATTTATAGCAATTTTTTCAAACAAATTAGAAAACATAAATTACAAAATAAACAGACACAGCACCACTGCTTTAATTTTTAGCGAATTTCTTAATCAAAATAAATTGTCATATAAAAATATATGTAGCATAAATACTTACAGAGAAGTTGAACTTTTATCTTTTCAAGTATTCCGTTACTTCCTTGTCGCAAAAAGTAGATACTTAATTACTTTTTTCGTTTGTTTGTTTGCTTACGAGCATTGGATACTTTTTTTTTCATTCGCCAGCCACCAATCACCGGTGGAATGCTTCAAATCTATTTGCATTTACAAAGGACATGTAAAGCAACCCGGAGAGATTCGGAAAATTTAAGTCAAAAGTAAGCACTTGGAATGATTCCAATTCTTAAAGTATACATATATATATAGATATAAAGAATTCTTCGCAAACTCAACTTTCAGACAACCACGATGCATTTCTTTACTGTAAGTTCTCTGAATTAAATTTTACATTCATTATTTTTTTGTATATCAATTTATCAAAATGTATCAGGATTTAGTGCGGCGTATACTACTCCCAACCATGTTATATTCTAACATTTTAAACTCATGTCCTAAAATTTTGTTCTCTGTATAAAAAATGTTTTGATTTTTTAATTGTAACTATTTAGAAAAGTACTTTAAAAAATAATCAACTATATTTCCAGGTTTTCCTACTCACGTGTGCTTTATTTGTTGATGTTTCATGCATTGGATGGCTAATGAAAGGAAATGATAGAGGATGTCCGAGGCGAGGTTTGTGTTCAATTTAATTAGCATTCATAAGCATTTAGCAAAAATTAGCAAATTGTATTGCATTTATCAAGACATTCAAAGATTCAAAGATTCTAAGAGGTGTGAGTTCTTAAAGAACGATTAAGAAAGATAAGTTCGATTCGCCTCCAGACGCTGCTGCTTGAATTCCTTTTATGAACTGCCATAAGTCATTGCTTTAATTAGAATACCAGCATCATGACCTTGCGATTGAAACTGTTCTTCTGACACTGTCTTAAAGAAATACACGCTATATAAACGCCGATTTTTTATGTGAAACAAAATGGTTAAATGGTTTCAGAAACATGATGTGTAATGAAAAAATAATTCTTTTCACAAAGTTTTACTAAATAAGTCGTTTGTAATTACAAAACAATTAAGCAACATCTACAATTGAAAATTCAGTCTTTTCATCAATATTGATGAAGAAAGTGCGTTAACAGTATATTGACAAGCATGTCCACAGGAAATCATAGACGAAGAGGTACGTTGCATTTTAATTAAGATTATGAATGAAAGGTTATATCTGTCATAACCGAGTAGACGGTTAATACTTGTTGCTTTAAAAGATAAGTATCTTTAAGTGTTAGACTTTGCCATTCATACCAAAAGTTATTTGTAAACCAAACGGTCTACCTCGTTTTCTTGACGCCATTTTTGTTTATCAGTCTAAAAGTGGCGACGGTGTCACGTGATTCATTAATTTAAAAAGGGGGCATTACTTTCCTAGCAGGAAAATAAATATTTATATTTTGACATCTTTATAACGCGTTCGTTTTCAATTGTGCGACTTACAGCATTTTTAGTAACTTTAATTGGTAAACATAATAAATAAATTTCCAACTTTATTCTTAACTGACGCAAGTTATAGCATGTATAACTTTAACAACAAACTGTTCAAGCTTTTGTATTTCGCTCTTTTATGAATTGAAATCAAGAAATCACCACTCTAAAAGAAAAAAATACAAGCGGGGAAATGGAGCACATTTCTTGAACAACTAAAAAAAATCCCTCTAAAGATTCACTTATATTTATGCACTAAGAATAACTTCAAAGCTAATAATCGCAAGATGTCATAAAATCAACTTGAACCAACCTCAATACATAAATGAATATTTGATTTTTAGATTATTTCAGCAAATTGTATTCACACTTAAGTTCATGTTTCATTTCAAACAGCCGGAGCTCATCCATTTTATTTTGGGACGACGCACCTCGGGTGCATTATGAGACATGGTAAAAAGGGGCGCAAACGTAGCGCACCTTGGAGAGGACCATGGGACCTGTGGCATCGTTTCATTCAATACAGAGGATACTTTTATGATTTAAAAAGTAAGTATCATGCTCTACGTGTATTTAAAATAAAAACTATAATGTCCTTTTCAGGGGCATGTTTAATACATGGACTATAATTACGTCTATTCTCTGTATTCTCTGTTACGTTATATAGCTGTAGAGCAAAGCAATCAAACAATTATATACAGGCAAATTTGGTGGCAACTAAACAAAAACAGAAGGAAGAAAACTTACATGAAATTATTAGGCGAACAAACAAAGCAGCAATCTTCTTACAGTTTTTCGAAGTGAAAAAATACTTTAGTGTATTCGAAACATAGGTAATCAAAGATTACGAAGCTCACCTCGACGAATGTTATCTACACTACGGTCAACGCGGATCCCGCATTTTCCCGCGACCCCGCGATGGTGTTTTAATCCTTTCCGCGATACACCGTCGCGGTTTTATAATCGCGGTGATCGCGGGGACACGAGATTACCGTGACGGTGTGCTCTACCGTATTTTACTCAATGTGAAGTCGATAATCCTTCTGCTTAATGTCAAAGTAAGGATATTTGATTGTGAATATATAAGATTGTTTTTTTTTTTTTTTTTAATTTGGCTTAAACATGTGAAAATTCTAGAAATAATTTATAAAAACTTTTTTTCAGTCTAAAGGGTGATACATGTATTTGAATGATACTTGGCATTTATTCTATTAATTTAAAAATATTATCATTGTTGTAGTTTCTAATAAGTAACCTGAATTATAGTGAGGAGATCTATAAATCAACATACATGTAATTTTTTTATTGTAGTAAATATCGATTCGATTTATTTTACGCCCTTTTTACATCATAACAGTTTTTTCATACAGTATTACTGCAATTTTTTTTTTCTTCGAATTGAAAATTACAATGTGTATATCACTGAAAAAAATTAATTGAAAACACATTTTCACGCCAAATTACCTCTTCCAACATGTTCAAATATTATTTACAATAATCCCGAATATTTGTTAGAATTATGGGCCTGAATAAAAAAAAAACAGCTCTGTTCATCATGTTCAAATATTCTAAAAGAAGTCGACAATAGATATATTTTTATAAAGCTAAAAAAAATTAAATGGTTGCGTTCTCAGCTGATAATTAAGCAGAGAAGTCATTAACTAAATAAGTTGAAACTGACCAAACACGTGTACATGTATTACACAATCACAGCGTGTGCAGTGGGGCGTAGCTAATATCCTATCGGTCGCCCACTATAAGACTATGGGTTCTCGGAAAATTCACGAGATGATCAAGCCCTTTTACGATAACCGTGTTTTCAAGCTGTAAAAACTGTATGTATAACATGACCATATTTCAGTAGCCGGTCTTGACACCTTGATCACCCATCATACATATAGGTTATATCAACTGATCAAACGCAGTCCTGAAATCACAGAAATATCGTTATACTTCTTTAAAAAAAAATTAAAAAAAATAATAATAAAAGTCTTTTTTTTATTGGTCGGCGATCTTGAAAAACTTGGGACTGCCAGAGTAATTATTGAAACCAAAGAGAAAGGTTTCACAAAACTGAATACTTTAAACCATTTAAGGGAGTGGGTGTTAAATTACACACTTTAATTTCGGGTAGAGAAACATGACGATTAGTTTGCACGGCAACAAAGTGTGTGTGCGTGTGTGTGTGTGTGGGGGGGGGGGGGTTAAGAATAAAAATCTAAAAAAAATGGCGAGGGACATTTCAGAAAACTTGCCTGTACGTATATTTTTACACTGTATTGTACATATTTATTTAATCAATTAACACACTTCATGAATGCCCAAAATGTACATAGCATATCTTTAGAAAATAATCAATAAAATATGAACAGTCTGATTAAAACCAGCCCCTTCTCCTATCGTCGTCGATATGTGAATATAAGATACTATTAAATCTATTTTTCTATATCATATTAATGCATAACACTATGGCTTGCTGTTTGTTCAAAGCCTTTAAAGTCTGGAGGAATTCTGAATGAAATTTCATTTTTCTAATAGTTGCCGAGAATTTAATGTTGTATTGGTATTGAATCAATGGAAAATTTTGTATAAAATAATTTGCTACTGATAGAATGGACAAATTATTTTATAGTTTGCGATGTATTTCAAGTTTAAATTTACGAAACAGACTCCTATTCAATATGAATGCAACATTTTGCATGTTCAGGTATACAATACAGGTAAATCACAGCTTTAAGAAATCTAATCTATTGTTGTGCAGACGTATGTGTATATCTATTACATAACACTTCCTGTCTGTATCAGTGCCAAGGTTCTGACTGTACGTACTACAAACTCGAATCTAGCCCGGGGACACATACAAACCTTCTGTTTCGATTGTATTTTATCAGTGTAAATTAAATTTCAAAATCGAATGTTGCATATTTGCACATGCTGTAACATCCTCTGAGCTATTAATAACGTTTTTTGCCTGTAATTGAAGGTAAATAAATAATAATTAAAAAAAACAAATTCAGGGAGGGGTATCCATGGTATCACATGCATGAAGATAATGTGTGATGCCCAGAGCATGGGAAGTCAGTCACTAGGGTAACCGTCACTAGAAAACAATCCACGAATGAAAACTTAAACTAAGTTTGAATCAGTTTTGAAATTTTGAATTATCAGTTGATTATGGACCGAAAATTAATTAAATTTTCAAATCAAAATAGGGTAAGCTTGCTATTTACGAATAAACATGTATCTAAAGTAAATTAAAGTTTGAATGATAATATTTATAGACAGGACATATTTTGAAAATAATATTTTACACCCGAGTCATAGTTTGTAATACCTGGATAAATACCGTAAAAGCGCACTAGATTAGAAGTCATGAAAAAAAGTCTAGTATACATGTTGTACGTTCATACGTACTTTCTCAAGTTTAAAATTTTCAAGGAAACTTGAATTATGAATAAGGAATACATAAAAAAAAAATATCTATTCCTTTGAAGATTTTATTCTGAGCGCCTTTTTTTTTAATATTGCGACTATTTTACTTATTTAAAATGGTTAAATGAAGGAAAGGTTGTTTTCAATTGACAATTAAATCACTGAGTTATCGGATGATCAATAACTGTGATCTACAAAATTAATGCATATGTATAATTTAAAAGGATATCTTAAGAACAATAAATGAACACACAATATACATATATAGTTGTCTCCATATCATGCATTCTTTCTTTCCTTTTTTTTTTTAAATTTTTGAAAGAGGCGTGAAATAAAAAGATAAATTAATCAAATATAAAAAGGAGACCTAAATAACTGCTAAGACTGGTTTTATCCTTTTAACTTTTTTTTTTTTTTTTTACTTGTATTCATTCTTGTTTTGTTGAGTTTTTTTTTCCCGTCGGGGGAGGTAACTCGCGTTTATGAACAGAATAATTTTTTACCTGAGACGGATAACACTAACCGCGATGGTGTGGATTAGTTGAGGACCCGTACCGCGACAACACGCGGTTTTACCTGAGTTACCTGTGTTAAACCGCGATCAATTTCACACCGCGAGGACTCGCGGTAAATACGGAAACCGCGTTGACTGTAGTGTATAAGTAGGGCAAATCTCACACCATAGGTTTTCTAGTTGATGTGCATCCTGAGATCAATATCCATACAAGTTTGGTTTTGATATGACACATAGTTAATTGGGAATGGACCTGCTCAGAAACATTTTCACTCATTCAGAAAATGAAGGCCAGATCCAGCACCCGAAGCACGTCTGAAAGTGTCCATCCCTAACTGCATCATCTATGCAAGCCAAATCATAAAAGGCTTTATACATGTAGTTACATAGCTACTCCACAGAGATTGCCCTGGTCATTCATCTAGAAAATGTAGGTCAGATTAAGGATCTGAAGCATGCCGCCCTAAATGATCCATTTAGGGATAACAGTTACTTGGCAAAGTACTTGCTCCAAAATCCACATCTGAAGAAAGTTTGGTAGTGGACATCCCTAGATGCATCATCCTTGCAAGTTTGAAATAGGCAAGGCTTATTGCTACTTGAAAATGAACCCGAACACAAAACTTTTACCTGTTTACTTATCTGAAAAATGTAGCATCCGAAGCCAGTCTTGTAGAGTCCTTTCCTTGATGCTTCATCCATGCAAGTTTGGTCCAGGTAGGGCTTACATTTACTTGACAATGGGCCTGCTACAAAAACTTTAACCTTGTAACTTATCAGGAAAATGTATGTCAGATCCAGCATCCGAAGCAAGTCTTGTAGTGTTCATTCCTAGATGCGTCATCCATGCAAGTTTGGTCAAGGTAGGTTTTAAGAATGAACTTGCTCCCAAAACTTTAAACAAGACGCCAGAGCCGACACCAACGCCATTGATTAAGCATTCTGACTTCGTCGAGGTGAGCTGAAAAATCATGCAAAAAATAAATGTCTCATTTTAAAGTCAGATTTCTTTTTCAATTAGCCAACTCCATGGTATCCATCGCTAGAAGTCGATTAAATGGACATGTGTGTCCTGGGGCTAGGGAAACTTACCCTGCTGGCTATAGCGAACTAAGCCCCGAGTGTATTGAAGGTTGCGCCAAAAATTACAAATGTCGGTATGGTCGCTACGACTTCCTTTTTAACAACTGTCACAACTTCGCTAACCGGCTGTCTGAAGTCTTGTGTAGAAGAGGTACAACTTGTCCCGGCTGGTGCACGGGAAGCTGTAATGACGTGGAACATAATTACCATTGAATGAAATGAAGAAATTTTTAATGTACTTATGCTTTTAATTACTTGATACATGTACATCAACAATGCTGAAAAAGAATTTATCTGATCAGTTCACAATTATAATATTTTACCTATATTATGCACATATACTGTGGTTGCAATTGTGAAAAAGCAGAATGAGAAACAAGGATAAAAATAAAATGAATTTTCTATTTCATTGCTCATAAAGTTATGTATTTTCATTTCTTTTTTTATCTTCTTTGTTCAGAAATATTTAGAATCATGAAGTTGTGTTTGCATGACAGAACATGGTTCGAATTCAGAAAAGTCAATATAATTTTATCCTTTACCTTAATTTCTAAAAGAATAACACTTCATTAAAGCTAAGGAGAAGATGGCTATATCACTATGAAAGGATTCGCATTTATTTGTTTGATTGTCTGTTTATTACCTCACCTGAGCCGAAGGCTCAAGTGAGATTTTCTGATCGAATTTTGACCGTTGTCTATCGTCGTTGTCGTCGTAAACTTTTCCCATTTCCATCTTCTTCTCAAGAACCACTGAGCCAATTTCAACTAAACTTGCCATAAAGTATCCTTGGGTAAAGGGAATTCAATATGTTCAAATGAAGGGCCATGCTTTCTTCAATGGGGAGATAATTATGATTTCGTGAAAAATTAATGGCATCATTTAAAAATCTTCTTCTCAAGAACCACTGTGCTTGAAAACATGAAACTTGGAATCATTGTTAGGTAGTGTAGATTCAAATTTGTTCAAATTATGACCCCTGAGGGTAGGGTGGGGCCACATTGGGCGATCAATGTTTTACATAGGAATACATAGGAAAAATCTTTAAAGATCTTCTTCTCAAGAACAGCAAAGCCATGATTGATCATATTTATATGGAAGCATCCTCAGGTAGTGTAGATTCAAATTTGTTCAAATTATGTCCCCCGGGGATAGGGTGGGGCCACAATATTAATGGGTGATCAAAGTTTTACATAGGAATATGTAGGAAAAATCTTTAAAAATCTTCTTTTCAAGAACAGCAAAGCCATTATTGGTCATTGGTCATGTTTGTTTGGAAGCATCCTCAGGTAGTGTAGATTCCGTTTTGTTAGAATCAGGACCCCCGGGGTAGGGCAGGGCCACAATGGGTGATCAAAATTTCACTTAGGAATACATAGAAAAAAAATCTTTTTCTCAAGAACAGCAAAGCCATAATTAGATATATTAATATGGAAGCATCCTCAGGTAGTCTAGATTCAAGTTTGTTCAAATCATGACCCCTGGGGCTAGGGTGGGGCCACAATGGGTGATCAAAGTTTTACATAGGAATACGTAGGAAAAAATCTTTAAGAATCTTCTCAAGAACAGCAAAGCCACGATTGGTAATGATAATATAAAAACATACTCAGGTAATGTATATTTAAATTTGTTCAAATCATGACCCCCTGGAGAATAGAGGGGTCATAACAGGGGATCATAGTAATACAAAGGAATAAAAAGGATATATCAATAAAAATTCTCAACTTAAGAACAGCAAAGTCATTATGTGTCATATTGAATCAAAAGCACCCTTAGGAAGTGTAGATTCAAGTGTTCACTTTTATATTTAAACTTTTCAATACTGAACTGATTTCTGCTTTTTCCTAGCCAAAGTGCTCAGGTGAACGATGTGGCCCCTGGGCCTCTTGTTTATTGGTGTTGGTTTGTGTGTGTGTGTGCGGGGGGGGGGGGATTTAACACACAAATTTTGATAGATCATATAAAATGTAAATTAACTCAGTTGATCGATTGATTGTATGTTGTAAAACGGCTCATTCGAGAATTTTTTATCGCTAATATAGAGATGTCGTCTGCTTTGGGTGAAGATAGAAATCTGTTGATTATATAGTGAAAATGCATCATTTCTTTGAAAAATCTTCTTCTCTGATCTGGCGTATTAAGAAAACTAAATGTATAGTTTGATGAACAGGAATGCGTCTTCCAAAATTGGTAAATTCATGGCCCCTTGGTCAGGGATTCTGGTGTTAGAGTGGGCCTCTATTTTTATTGCTTATAAAGTGAAAATGAATCAATTCTTTGATAATCTTCTCTGTTCCTGTGTATTAAGCAGATAGACTAAGTGCATAGTTATGATGAGCAACAGTGCCTCTTCCAAAATTGTGAAATTTGTGGCCCAGGGTCAGGGGTTTTGGTATGGGGGGTTGATTATATATTGAAAATGCATTATTTCTTTGAAAATCTTTTTCTCTGCTCCTGGGTATTAAGCAAACAATGTAAGTGCAACGTTATGATGAGCAAGGTTGCCTCTTCCAAAATTATGAATTTCATGTTGTTATTATGGATTATACAGTGAAAATGCATAAATTCTTTAAAAATCTTTCTCTCTGCTCCTGTATATTTAGCAGATAAACTCAGTGCATGGAAATAATGAGTGAGGGAGTCTCTTTCAAAATTGTTAAATTTGTGGCCCCATGGACAGGGGTCCTGGTGTTGGGGAGGGGGGAGCTCCATTGATATATAGTGAAAGTTCATTATTTCTTTGAAAATCCTCTTTTCTAATCCCGAGTATTAAGCAAGCAAAGTAAGTGCAGACTCATGATGAGGAAGAATGCTTCTTCCAAAATTATGAATTTCATAGCCCCTGGGTAAGAGGTTCTGGTGTTAGTGCAGGGCTTTGTTGATTATATAGTGAAAATACATTATTTCTTTGAAAATCTTCTTCTCTGATCCATTATAATAAGCAAACAAACTAAATGTATAGATATTATGAGCAAAGGTGATTCTTCCAAAATTGTGAATTTCATGGTCCCTGGGTCAGTGGTTCTGGTGTTAGGGCAGGGCTCTATAGATATTGAGAATCATTGAAGGTCATACTTGGTACAGAGATTATTTATGACCCCAGAATGCGTGACGACCTTGATGCAAGGTCATTTTGGCAATTTCAAGGTCAATGATAGAAAAAAGTATAGAATTCTTGTCCAGGCCTTAACTTTGTAATAGAGAATCATTGGAAGCTAATACTTATTACAAAAATTGTTTATGTCCTGAGGGTGTGTCTTGACCTCCCCAACAAAAAAATACTATAGTTAACTATAGTTAACTATAGTGATAACTTTAACACTATGACAACTATAATTAACTATAGTGATAACTTTGACACTATGACTTACTATAGTGATAACTTTGAAAACTTTGATTTACTATAGTGATCACTATGAAAACTTTGATTTACTATGGTAAAAACTTTAATTTACTATACTGATAACTTTGAAAACTTTGATTTACTATAGTGATAACTCTGACATTATAGTAATCACTTGACACTTTGATTTACTATGATGATAACTTTGACACTTTGATTTACTATAGTAAACTATAGTTACCTATAGTAAACTATATTTTTTTTTGTTAGGGCTTGACCAAATGTCATTCCAGCAAGTTCAAGGTCACTGGCAGAAAAAACATAAAATTCTTCTTTAGGCTATAGCTTTGTAATGCAGAATCTTTGGAAGCTCATATTTGGTACTGATGACCCAAGTATGTGTCATAACCTTGACCCAAGCTCATTTTTGTGGCAAATTCAAGGTCACTGGTATAAAAACTTTAAATTTTATGACAGGTCTAAAAACAATGCTTAAAACAATGGCTGTCCACATTTAACTAAAAGATTACTTATGACAGGAGGATGTGTCATTTTTTAACGCAAGTTCAGGGTCACATTTACAAAATTTGAATAGGCACCTTAAAAGAATTGCAGCAGGGGTATATTATTTTGTGAACTCGCTCACAGTACTAGTACCTCCAGTTTTATACTTCCGTGGATCATTTAATATGTTGTATTATACTCAGGTGACCGTTAAGGCCCTTGGGCCTGTTGTTTTAATTCCTTGTTTTACCTTAAACTTCTAGTATTCCTTTCCCCATAGAGGTCGGATTTGTGTTTTCATTTGAGTGATGCAGTTTAATTCTAATTATCTTCAACTGGCATATCCCAATTACAATTTGGATTTGTCAATTTTAAAACGTGCATAATATCAATTTTCTGTGGCAGTATATTGTTTATCGAACCGAAAAGATTTATAAAAACTAAAACTATCACGCAATTTCTGTTTGTGGTGCCCCCTTTCCGGTTTCGGTCTGAATAAATACAATACACTTGATAAAAAATGTTACCCTATATAGCTCGAACTTTCTCGAATATAATTATAAAATATATTTACATTATCCATGAACCAAGCGCTCCCCCCCCCCTCCCCCAACCATGTAGGTATAACAGTTTTGGTTGCGCAAGATTTCTTTGACAATTCTTCTTAATGCTTTCTTATGTGATACTATGAGCATGTACCTTTCATGATCTACCGCCGAACACAAAAATGCATGGAAACCCTGAATAGGCCCACCAGTAAACATTCCTTGGTCCGTATTCTTTGAAAAATACAACTGCCAGTCAGTAAGTTTTCAAATTTTCTATCTACAACTAACTTTTGGTATGTCAATTTGAACAAGGAATCGTAATCAAATTATGCTGACACAGATCGACTCTCAAAGATATTTTTTATTATTTCAAATGAAGATGCGATATAATAGTATTTTCAAAAATTAAGAAACCAGAATAGATTTTAAAGAGGAAATTCTTTTAATCCCCGTCTCATCATTGCCTTGTATTAATTAATCACGATTTGATATCTTCGAAAAGGATGAACTGCCCAAAAAGTATCTACTCTTATTATATGACCTCATGCTATTTTTATGTCTTTTCAAGATTTTAAAAAAGTGTAATTTTCCTAGTTTTTAGCTCACCTGAGCCGAAGGCTCAAGTGAGCTTTTCTGTTCTGATCACATTTTGTCTGTAGTCCCTCTGTCTGTCTGTCCGTCTGTAAAATTTTCACATTTTCGACTTCTTCTCCAGAACCACTGGGCCAATTTCAACCAAACTTGCCACAAAGTATCCTTGGGTAAAGGGGATTCAAGTTTGTTCAAATGAGGGGCCACGCCTTTTTCCAAGGGGAGATAATTAAGAATTCGTGAAAAATTAATGGCATCATTAAAAAATCTTCTTCTCAAGAACCACTGTGCTTGAAAATATGAAACTTATGTGGAAGCATCCTCAGGTAGTGTAGATTCAAGTTTGTTCAAATCATGACCCCCGGGGGTCGGGTGGGGCCACAATGGGCGATCAAAGTTTTACATAGGAATATGTAGGAAAAATCTTTAAAAATCTTCTTCTCAAGAACAGCAAAGCCATGATTGGGCATATTTATATGGAAGCATCCTCAGGTAGTGTAGATTCAAATTTGTTTAAATCATGACCCCTGGGGGAAGGGTGGGGTCACAATGGGCGATCAAAGTTTTGCATAGAAATATATAGGAAAAATCTTTAAAAATCTTCTTCTCAAGAACAGCAAAGCCATGATTGGTCATATTTAAATGGAAGCATCCTCAGATAATGTAGATTCAAATTTGTTCAATTCATGACCCCCCCCCCCCCGAACCACTTTTATATTTAAACTTTTCAACCTTTCAAGACTGAACTGATTTCTGCTTTTTCCTAGCCATAGTGCTCAGGTGAGCGATGTGGCCCCTGGGCCTCTTGTCGTAAATTGAAAGTACAGCTTATTTTGTGCAATTATATATGTAAAGATCTGCATTCTTACTTCCATACGCCTTAAGATCTTTCATCTTTCATCAATGCAGTTTGATGCGTATAGCACTAGAATCCCCCCCCCCCCTCCCCCCCCCCCGTACGTACTGAATAATTTCCTTTGAAACTCTTGATAAACAATTAAAAAATATTAAAAAAATATCTAAACCAGTATAAGGAGTTCGTGTCATTTAGTATTAAGTACCTTACAACAACAATACAAGGATTTAAGACCCAAGAAAAAATCACGCCTATTTTCAGCAAACAAGATGCATAAGTATGTCATTATGAAATTATGTCACTAGGTCAATGGGCAGAATTCTTATTTTGATTGGAAAATATTTTGCATATGTCCATATTCACTAAGTTGTGCTCCCGATTTGTACAGGGTGTTTCGTAATACAAGTGTCTGTCCCCATTACAAACTGGCATATGAATGCAAAAGTATTTTATATAGAAGGTTTTAATAAATTCAAAAAAAATATATTAAACATGTATTTTCAGGTATATACATTGTAATTTTATTTCACAATGCTATTGGTTAAGCTTACTTTAAAAAAGTTTGTTTTTTATTCATAATTATAATGCGCTGCAAATAACGTTCTCTTTGTTATCAAACAGTTATGTAAAGAGTTCAACGCGATGTCGAAAATTCAGATCACTGTAGCAATCTTTTCAGTTCTTGCTGTGTTCTCAAATTAAGTTTTACAAGACTCCTAATCTGTTTTGAATGATTTCGTTATCTGATTTTGATATTTTTTGCATCATCCTGACAGTTAGTTGGTGAAAGACATTCAAAGTTCAGCTGCATTACTTCAACACTTTGTTTTTAGCAGAGACATTTTATGACGTCATTCATAACATCATAAGGTTGAAAAAAATGCCTTTTTTTCTCTAAATATTTGTAAAATTGTTCCCTTTCTTCTTGAGAAAAAAAAATATTTTTTTTTTTAAAAATGTGATTAACATTAAAGATGTTAACAACTGGAATGAGGATAGGTATTATGAAACACCCTGTAAATAAATAAAAGAAAACAATCAAACCTTTGGGAAAAAAAATAGCTCGTCGGAAATTCGAGATTTGGAACGATCAAACAAAGGCAAACAATAGAACCTCTAGAAATTTGCGAAACTTTTTTCGTAAAACATATTTTGTATGCATACATCAATTTCCTGTCCACCATTATTAAAGGAAATGTTAATCTATCCCTATTTATTTAATCATATTGCCCGTGTTATCTATAAATCCATCATATGGAATTTCCAAGCTAAATATTTTTATTCAACATTTTTTTAAATTTCAATTATTTAACGTTGTTGCTGTTTTTTTACATTTACAACAAAATAATTTTTCTTATGTTTTGACCAAGTGTCTTATTTTCATTTTCCTCAGAAGATAAAAACAAATTTGACTGCAGTAATGCTTGAAATATACTCAGTATTCTTTAAATTTTTTGTGAAAATTTTGTGAAATATCCATCTGTTATAAAGTTAGTAGAGAAAATATTATGTTCTGATATTTAATACCTGAAATTTAACATATTTGCAGCGTTTATTTTTCCTACACATCTAAATAAAGTCAAGATATTGTCCCATCCCCGTTTCACCCACCTTCCATCCCTCTTTGAAACGAGATCAAATCGAATGTACAAGCCTATGTTTGATACCAAACTTATAAATCTGTTTTACAATTAAAGTAGCTGGTGGGATTTTTTGTAAAGTATTTGTTTCTATATCTACACACATAGCCTATAAATCAAAAGAAAATATTAGGTCAATATACGTCTTTCGGTGCTACAATACATTGACTATGACTTTTTGCACTGTAAGTACATCTTACACATAAACCACCTATGGAATTTTATTTCAAGAAACAACATTTTTTATCCGACTAAATCACTGCACTCAATATAGTTTTACATGTATTCTATGTAACAGAAATACATTTTCAACAATCCTAAAATGCAATTTTTTGGCATTAAAATTTTAACAATTAGCAAGAAAATTATATAAAAGTCTTAGGTTTATTGAATTTACGGCAGACTGATCAAAGATATCTTACATATTCAGAATATAAAATGAATAGTGGGGGTCCATGATGAAAAGTTTTAGATACTGGCCATGGGTGTACATTAATAAAAGTTAATTTAGGTTTAAATTGTGGGAGGGGGGGGGTTATAATATCAAAATAGAGTGAAGTGTAGTTGTAAAAATTATAGATATCTTTTTATATGTCATCTCTCCTGCTGTATGATTTCATCATACTTTAAATAGACTATCAAGAGAGAATCAGTAACTCGCTAATTTGAAGTCAGAAAAAGATATCATACCCTTGTGTTTCTATTATTTGTCAGCTATTTTGTATCTATAAACATATAGTAGGTTTTAATCATCTATTAATAAACTAAAATTATTATATGTTGTATTTTATTTGCCTATGTTGTCACTTTCAATAATATTAAAGTTTTTCAATAAATATAGTATTAACTAAAATATGTTGTTCACGTATAAAATGAAATAAAGTATATATATACTCAGAGTGAAGATATATCTTTCAAGGATCGTGTTACTTCTTGGTCACCTTAAAGTAGATACTTAACCACTTATTTATGATCTATATAATTTTAGATGTACTGAGATGAGAAGAGTTTGCATCTTTTTAGTACAAAATAGACAAAACATGTGAAAATGTGTATGATTGACGCACTCATTACATATTTTTTATATTTTAAAACTATTTAGACTGATTGCAATTTTATGAAAATGTAATAAACAAAGAAATAATTAAAATAAAAAGAAAAGAAGATGAAATCCAAATTTAATATTCTTAGCAAAGAATTCCACAAACAAGCACTTATATTTTGTGCACATCGATGCCTCTCCGTTTTTTTTTTTTTTTTTGTTTGTTTTTGTTTTTGTTTTTTTTTTGTTTTTTTTTTTTTTACCGCATAAAGAATATTAACAATAACATGTTATGACATGTTAATCAACCCTGACAATTCATGAAATTTATGTCAAGTGTAAGCCCTTGGAATTATTCCAATTCCAGAAATATTGTCCTATATAAACCCTCCTCCACAACTCAAACTTCCAAACAGCCAAGATGCATTTCTTCACTGTAAGTTGTCATAAATTATTTTTCATTGAAAAATGAATTAAATTCTAATCATGTCGGAGTGTAACGTGGTTGGAGCAGCTTATGAGTAAACTGCCCCAAAATCATGTTAAATTCTAATGTTATTTAAAATGATGATAGTAATCTAATAATTCTTTGCAACTTAATTATGACAATAATCAATTATATTTCCAGGTTTTCCTACTCACATGTACCTTATTTGTTGACGTTTCATGCATTGGATGGCTGATGAAGGGCGATAGCAGAGGATGTCCATATCGAGGTCGGTGATCAATTTAAATGGCATTTTCTAAAGATAGATATGTAAATCATGAAGATATTAAAAGATTTTTGTCCTCAAAGGATTGGCAAGGTCTACGGGTTCAAGCTGACGTTCAACAGCGATGTTTTAGGAAACTATTAAATCTATAATACAGATCACTGTTTTCATTTGAGTACGAGTATCATTACCATTTGCGAAATTGCCAAATCTTTCCACGTGACTCTGTCTTCAGAGAGATTCGGGGTATACAGTATTTCTGTTTGAGGACTTTTGTCTCAGTCTCTGTTGTTGTTAATGTCAATGTAAAAGATGAAGATAACGAACAGTGATCGATCTAAAAAAAATCTACAAACAATATAAATCTATTAATTGGGCATAAAACACGAACCACCGGAAATTCTAGAATTGGTATCAGGTGCACAGGAAGAGTCAACAATTCCTGTTGCCCGGTAACACCCGCTGTGAACCCATGTATTAGTCATTCCATAGTCAAATTTAGTATAAAAACAAAGGCCTAACAATTGGTATTAAACACGTCAGCCAAAATATGACCCAATGATAGGTTATATTTATGTAGAAAAGATAAGAGTGATCGAATTTCATTTCAAAACAACACAGGCAAGTCATTTTGCTTTCCACTCAATCATCATTTTCGAGTGAGCACCGCTTCTTTGGGAAAAGAAGAATAGATTATAAACAAAATGTGAATTGCATTTCCTATATATAACGAAATTTAAACAAAAACAAAAATAGGAGAACCTGTATAGAAATGAGCGGAAAACACAACATAAAAAAATCTGTTGCATCCAATTCCATACAATAATTAATGTTTGCTTAGTATTTTATATTTTCTTACACTGAAGTAAAGGTTTTTCTCACTTAAGGTGGAGCTCATACGTATTATTTTGGGACGACGCATCTCATGTGCATCATACAACATCGCAATAGAGGCAAACGAGGTGCACCTTGGAGAGGACCCTGGACCACCGACCACCGATTTATTGAATACAGAGGATACTATTACGATTTCCAAAGTGAGTACTATGTCAATTTAAAAATATTTGTGTAAACCCACAGGGTACCCAAGTACGAGTGTTTGTTGAAGTGTAAGTCAGTCTTTGTATGTCATCCGTAAAATAAGTTTTATTAAATGGTATAACAAATGTTGGTTTGTTTGAAATAATATCTCAATGCAAATTAATAAATTTGCATATCTAAAAATATTTGTGTAAACCCTCATCAGGAGAACAAGTACGAGTGTTTGTTGAAGTGTTAGTCAGTCTTTGCATATCATCCGTAAAATAAGTTTTATTAAATGGTATAACAAATGTCGGTTTCTTTGAAATGATATCTCAATGCAAATTAGATGAATGTATAGATCGTACATAAAGTATTTTACTTATTAAAGAATTTTGTGGCAACTATGCAAGAGAAAAAAGAAAACTAAGATAAACTTAAAATTAAGCAGAACAGAGACACATGTTTTTCAATATGAAGATAATATTATTTAAAAAAAAAACAACAACATTAACAGTTAAATATCTATAATTTACATGTTGAATTCCTTTCCAAACTAGCTAATTCGAAAGTATCATGAAGATAATATTATTTTAAAAAACCAAAATTAACGATTAAATATCTATAATTTACATGTTGAATTTCTTTCCAAACTAGCGAATTCGAAAGTATCGATCGCAAGAAGTCGATTAAGGGGAGATGTATGCCCTGGAGCAAAGGAAACTTCCCCAGCGGGATACAGCGAAGTAAGTCTCGACTGTATTGAAGGTTGCGCCAAAAATTACAGATGCAGATATGGATATTACAACTTCCTGTTCAATAACTGTCACCATTTTGCTAACCGGCTGTCTGAAGTTCTTTGTAGAAGAGGTACAGCATGCCCCGGATGGTGTAGAGGAAGCTGTAATGATGTGGAATATAATTAACAATTGAATAAAATGGAGATGTATACTTTACTTATATGTACTTAAAAAATTGATATATTGATATTTCCGAAAAATAAATTTGTTTGATTAGTCACTGCTTTCAGAATTCCCATTTTTTGTTTATTTATTTGTGTTGAAACTGTGAAAACGCAGAATGAATATATATTCATAGAAGTGCATCTATCCTTTTCGTATAAAATTATGCACATATTTGGCTACAAATGGTAAACAGTAAAATTTCATTTTAGAACGCAACACTTTCTCATAACTGACTAACTTCCGCTTTGACAATCTGTTACATAAACGTAATAAGATTCTGCCCTACTTAAGTATTATATACAATAGACATGCATGGCAAAAACATGTTAGTGTAATGATTTTTTAAACCAAGCGCAGCGTCTGCTCTTTTTTAGATAATATTTTGAATAAAGGTATATCTCGTGTTCTTTAAAAGCATGCAATATTTTAGAGGAAAAAACACTACATAATCAGTGAATTGTGTTTCATTAAAAAAGACAAAATAAATTAAATGTACTGTGTATTGGATGTTCAACATTGATTTCAGCATATATTATAAGCACAAAAAATCGTCTATGAACGAAAGTATCACTTCTTGACAGTATCAGTGCAAATCAGTGCAAATAAAAACGATAAACATTCATAATAACTCTAAAAGGAAAATGAATTAAACACGATAAGAATTAGGAATTAAAATATTAGAAAAGTACTGAATAGACTTTTGTGAAATCAATCAGAGCCCCCACTTTGTGAGGTTAATTTTGGGTATGAATTTTTTTTTGTTTTACAAACGATGCAAACAGTATAATTAGTATTATATAGAAATTATGAATTACAGTTGATGCAATAAAAATTAATATGGCATGACTTTAGCAAAGGCAGTCATAACTTTAACAAATACAAAAAACTAACATTTTACAGATAAATTTTACAAAAAAAGATGCTATAAAATTTGATAAATGAGTAGACCACATTTCTATTAAGAATATCATTTGACTTTGTTTGAAATACAAGAGATCAAATTCCATTAAAAAAATCACAGTTGGTACATGTATCATGAATATATACGAGATAGAAGCCTATTCTTTACAGGAATGCAGATTTATGAAAATTGGGAAACACCAGAAACTAGGAAACAACTGAATTTTATTCCAATGTATTGTTCGTTCATAACGATTGTTACTAATTGTATATATATGTAATACAAGTCGGGATACCTTGGACCTCTTAATATTTTTAAATGTGTGGGAAGTGAAAAAAAAAATTTAAAAAAAAATTGCACGCCACCGAAATAAAGTAATTTCCCAGTACAAGAAGAACAAAAACAATGAGTTAATGTACACTTTATAGAGTAGTGAAATGGAATTATCACAGTTTATAAAAGAAGTTTAATTTTAAAATGCAACTACTCCTTTTCCTTTTATTTCGGGTCGATAAAATAAACTTCAATAAGATTAAATCAATTTTAAAAAATAACGCCTATTAAAATTTCGGCATTCTTTTTCGTCTAGTTAATTCCAAAGTTTCGAATTTCAAAAGTCGACAATGAGAGGATGCAAGCAGCGGAAAAGGGAGAGTTCCCAAGCTAAATACAATCCAGTGTGTACTAAAGATTTTGCCAAAAAGAAAGCAGGTATGGCAGTTCTTTATTTTTATTTTTGAAAAAGTTTTCATATACATAAGATTAAAAAAACACACATACACACCCACACACTCACTGTGCACCTTTCTCAAAATACCAATTGTTATGGTATGGCAGTTCTACCTTCCTGTCAAACAACTGTCACCATCTTGCTACCATCATGGAGGGTTGGCACGCTAAAGAATCTTCACTGCTCAATGGACACTAGTAAAGGTATAATTATGAAGCCCTTCAACGACATCCAGTGACATCTCATACGATAAAAATAAACCTTGCAAGGGACATCAAATTATTATATGTAACAATTGCAAATGAGATAAAGCGTATGTCTGTATCTAAAGCTACAGGTATGGATGGCTTGCTCCAGGCTTGGATGTTCCGTATACGATACGGCCAACTAACAACTGAATTGTATGACAACGAGAACTCTTCAGCTTTTCTATTGTCAACATTCCTTATTTATGTAGTAATTTTATGTAGTAATATTCAGCTATGACCTGCATATGGTGTTAACGTTTCCCATGCTCTGAGTACGATCAATTTTGAAACCGAGGTAGGCTACTGATAGATAACTTTATGTTACAGGGATTTCAACAACCTATTTTAAAGTTACCATTTCGTAAATTCTATGGTCGTTATAATGACCTTGTAAACAAATATAATCTATCACTTGTTCTTAGTTTTCGCTGACATGTTTCGTACAAATTGTGAGGCCTTAAATTTGTTTTTATATTAGATTTGACTAAGGAATGTTCCGTTTAACTGATCAATACATAGGGCTCATGGCGGGTGTGACCGGTCAACAGGTTATGCTTACTCCTCCTAGGCACCTGATCCCACCTCTGGAATTTACGGGGGTGCGTGTTTTATGTTCTGTTCACAGATATATATTGTTTGTAGGTTTTTGAGATCGATCACTGTTCGTTATCTTCACCTTTTTTTTTCATTATTTGCTATTCTGTAAAGATTGGAGTTCTATCTCGTATATTCTGGATACCACTTGTAAATTTAATATATGTATATTAAAACAGGTCTTTTAAACATAAAGTTGGGGAAAAACACCACACAATGATTCTGTATATAGAATGATTGTCTGTTTATTGATCAAATATTATAGCAACTTTTTTTTTTCATTCTTTTAAAAAAAATTAATAAAATTTTACGAATATTTTATGATTTCTTAATCTTGTCTTCTATAATATTGTTTTTTTTTTCAGGATCACTTGATATGTTTCAGGTCAATAAATTATTCAAACTTCAAACAGATGCTGCAGTTGGCCTAAAATCGTTACACTATCATGCTTTTTTATGTATTGTATATTATACTTAAAAAGGCGTAATTTTTATCACGTTTACGCAACAGACCGTCAAAGCAGAAGGTGTTTTAAAGTTTTATTATGAAAACAAGAGGCCAATGGAGTACAACGCTTACCTTAATCACCTTTTCCCTGCTCTTCTTGATCCAAAGACTTAAAAGTCGATTATGATGATAGATGTACTTTTGGCGATAAATCATTTAAAGAAAATGAAATACATTTATCACCCAAAATTTTATACATGTATATATATTGACCACTTGAGCAGTGTAAGAAATTTAAATTTAAATAATTGTAAGACATTAAAAAACTCAAATATTAAAATTTCTCTTCTTTGTAGTTTACAAATTTATTCTTGTTTCAAGTGTATACTTTTTTAATTGTTCTCCACTATTACTTTGAAAACAATGTTTAGTTTCTTTGCTAAAATTCACTTGAATTGCAATTGAAGATGCACATAATTCTTCTTTTCTTCAACCAATAATTAAAGTTTTCGTTCAATTTTTTCTGCACTTCTTGACAATATTTTTCCGTGTGGGAAGTCTATTTTGACCACTCGTATTGATTATCAGACACACAGGTGTTCTATTACTAATGACATTATATATAGTCTTGTTCCAATGTATGCTGTACATTCCGTTTTTGGAATAAGATGCAATTTTCACTGGTATGTCATTATTTATTAGATATTAGTATCTTTTTTTTTTTTTTTTTTTTTTTAGTTTTTTATGATTTCGAGAAATTTTTATCTTAAATGAATTATAGTCTTTATTGAAGATAATCGAAATCCCTAGTATATTTTATGGAGGATTTGTCATCATAAGAATTTTTGTACTACCAATTTCATCACCTAGGAGATACTTTAATTATTAATAGTTTCACAAGTAACATGTTTACTATATGGATTAGATTTATTTATTTAAAAGGTTCATACATTATTTACAAGGATAAATTCAACTTTTTCTCGAGAAAAAAGTTCTTCCTTTCATTTTTCATGTTAAAGAATTACTCTTAACTTACTGTACCAAGAAAATAATTATCTCCACTTATTAAAAATACATCTTGGGTGGATATTTTCGATTTTAAGAATGAACCTACGAAATACAAATAAATTGTATTTCTAACCGTTAGTAAACGAAGATAATAGACATAAGTCATTAAATGACAAACTTTTATTACCTATCGTCATTGATTGAATATGAGGCCATAAGATATCAAGGATGGTAATTTTAAAATTGTTTTATAGATTTTCATCGTCATTTGTGTATTATTCCTCCAAGCGGATGCTTGGTGGGTGAGGAGATGGTGGGGCAGAAATGGTAATAGCAGAGGGTGTCCAGCAAGAAGTTAGTATATAGAGGTTGCAAATAAAATCTTTGTGCTGTTTTATTTGTATTTTTAATAGCCTAATTTCCAGTTTAAATCTTATGGATCGAAGATGCATTAGAAATTGTTATTTAACCTCAAATACATTAATGACCACAGGTGGAGCTACGCCGTACTATTTCGGTACAACAAGATTGAGCTGCATCAAAAAATTTAAACGAGGTGCACCTACGAGAGGAAGGTTATCCCTTACTCACCGCTTCATTTACTACAAGGGAAAATATTTCGATTTCCTAGGTTAGTGATTAATTTTCAACTTCAATTCAAAACTGCTATAACAAGTAACAAGTGATTTAATTTACAAATGTACACATAAGGTGTAATTTTCAAATCAAATTGTTATTAAAGATATTCAGTTTTTATTGTCTTGTACGAGTTAGCCTGCCAGAAATGAGTTAAATGTTCAGTTTGTTGATTAATTCAAGCCTCCCAATACGGTTTTCAAAATAAGACAGTGTTACATAATTATTTAACAACTTTAGCAATGATTTACAGGTAAATCGATGGTCGCAATTTCAAATAGCCGACTAGCGGGAAGCAGGTGCAGTGGTGGAATTGAGGGTTCGCCAGCAGGGTACAGCTCTGTGAAGCTTAGTTGCATTGAGGGTTGCGCCAGAAACTATCGCTGTGCATATGGGAGGTACAGTTTATTGAGAAACAACTGCCACGACTTTGCCAACAGGATGTCTAAAATTCTCTGTAAAAGAGGATCTGGCTGTCCGAGCTGGTGCCAGGGAAGCTGCAACTATGCTTATTACACTAAATAGTGAATTAATAGAAGAGAAACCCGTTTTGTCTTGGTCTCACTAAAATTAAATTCTTCCATGTTCAAACATTTTTAAAATATTAAACAAAACAAACAAAAAGCACATTTTCTTTGATCTTACTTTCAAATTAAATCAAATTAAATCAATCTTTTTTCTTCCTTATATTTTCAAGACGAAGAATTTTTCATTAATTTTCCTTTGATATCATATTGAATCTCGTATTTCATGAAGTTTAAGCAAGATGAGGGGTTAACATGTTTGCAACTTTTGGAGTTCAAAATCACTTACCCTAGAAGCCGACGATATACGAGATCTAAGCACTACGGAATGAACCTTGGACAGTTCAAATAATGTGGATAAAACAAATCAAAACGGGTCTATTTACAAGATGTCAGTTAAGATTATTTAAAAATAGAGAAATTGAAATACATTTGATAGATTCAATAGAATTGTGGATGAACTGAAAACGAGTTCCGAAAAGTAACGTCATAAAGTTTTTTTTTTTATCGTGTGGCGATAGACCCTACCTGGCTTTGAGTTAATCTTTATATTTTAAAAAAGTATTATTAAGTATCTGAATTAAATTTTTTGGCAACTATCAAAATAGGTATAGGTTTTTGCTACTTAAATTTTTGTTGATAACGTACGATAATAAAAGATTTTAAAGCACTGTGACATTATATTTGGATCAACCCTCGTATATAGACATGTTAATTTCAAACAAAATAAACTTTCTTTCTTCAGTAGTTACCCCATCTTTTGCCGGTTATTTTGGATAGCAATGCATTTTACATCAATAATAAATGCATATAAATCATTTAATAAGTTTACACAGTAACATCGATACTACAGATGTTGGAGCAGATCAAAAACTCACACGACAAAAATGTATAAACTAGAACTAATAAACTGTTAATTTAACGCTCACTGTGTAGTTATTTATGTTACGATCTTTTAAGTACCAGTCCACATAAAAATCAGACAAAATTGTATGAAAGTGATACATGAAGGTTTTCAGAATTCGATGATTTTTCACTCATAAATTTCTCTTGCAATATGAACAATGTATGTAAAATGAAAAATGTTTTGAGTCATGGTTACCATGGAAACCCGGCCAAAGAAATTTCCTTAGCAACCTGCAATTTTTTCCATGTTGATGGACAAAAATTCACCTATCTTTAAGGCTTAAAATAAAAATTTTAATACCATGAAAATTATTCTCAATTACTGGTGTAATAAAGATACACATTTAAAGTGTTTTAATAATGCAATGAAAGAAATTTAGGTCTTAAGTTAGTTCTGTGCTAGCCATTGGAAGGTACACATGTTTTGCAATTTCTGCTGATTCAGCATTTTTCGTGATTTTGGCAATATTCAAGGCCAAATTTTAAAAAAGGCCAGATTAATACAGCTGTTGCGTGTATTTCACATAAAAGCAGATGAATTTCTCTTTCAGAATTTGAAGTCAAATCCATGGGCCTTTTTGAAAATTGAATCTGTTGCCTAGCAACAAATATGGGCATTTTGATACATAAAATGAGAAACAATGTAAAAAGTTTACGGAAAAATCAAATGAATTGTTATCTACAAAAACGAAAAACAAATTTTAAAATAGTAGAATTAAAGGACTTCCTAGCAAATTATTGAATATTGTATAATTATTTATCTCCATAGCAACAACAGGTTCTCCATAGCAACGGGCAAAGAAAGTCAATTTTGACATGTATTCATGTAATCTTATTAAAAATTTATTCAAATTAAGTCAGAAAAATGTCGTTGAGCAAAATTGACAATGAAATGTTGGTCTTATTAAAGTTTTTGTGGTACTTAATCAACCCATAGCAACGATTCCCAGTACATGACGACCAATGTGCACTATGCCTCCTGTAAAACAGATTTGACTTTGGGATCGTATTGTTTGTCATGGAATTGAATATTCAAGTAATGTGCTGATAATTGTATATGCTGAGTGTGTGGAAAGAATGTAAAATGTTGTAGCAAATTATTGAATATCGTACATTGACTTATTTCCATAGCAACAACAACACTTCCCCATAGCAACGAGGCAAAGAAACTTAATTTTGACACATATTCATGTAAACCTGTAAAATCTATCTAAATCAAGTCACAAATATGTGTTTGAGAAAAATTGACATTGTCGTGTTTGTTTTAGGAAAATATTTTTGTACTCATTTAACCCATAGCAACGATTCCTAGCACATAGCCAGCAATTTTGTCAGTATGGGATTCATTCTCTGTAACCGCTGTATTGAAAGATTTGGCACTCGTTACAGATTTCGGGGATACATGTACGACTCTCAAATAATCACTACAGAAAGCATTACAATGTAACAATTATTCCTCATAAAAATAAATAGATAAATAAAAAGAATATCGTTACTATGGAAACGTATCTAATAATATTTGGTAAGAGGATTCAAATTGAGTTGGAAGATCAGGATTTAATTATTCTATTTATACTTATTACAGATTGCAGAGTTTTTTTTTCAAACAGTTAGAGGATAAACACGTTTGTTCATATCTAAATATAGAGTTTTATGCATCAATAACCTCGAGTAATACTTAGGTCACATTTATTAAATGATTTAAGCCGATGGTCGGGCGACCAAATTATTATCGTATCGTCGGCTGAAAAACTTAATCAGACGATTCTAGTATCGGGCGATGCAGAGTAGTCACATTAAGGACATTGGCAAGTCAAGGTTTTCCGGAGAAAAAAGGTTTAATACATGGGTATTTTTACTTATGAATTAGTAATTGAGAGTGATCTCCCGTGTAGAATTCTCTAAACGGTGAAAACCAATTAAAGCCAATGTTTACAGAGGTAAACAAAAGCACATGTACTTCCTTCAATGGGTAGAATCATCTATACAGCAAGAAAGAAAAGTAGTAATGGCTTTTTTATACATTGTATTCAGGGGACAAAGAACCAACAGGTCGTCATTTACTATAGTTGTGATCAGTATGCTGGGAAGAGCAAAGATGTGATATATGCTGAAAGGTAGACAGACTGAGATCAGTTCCTATGTTGTATGAAGGAAGCAGCATTTAGTAACAACGAATAAAAATTGAAATAAATCCATGCCAATATTTTTATAACAATGTGTTTCAATCAATTTAGTCAATTAAATGATAGAATCAATCAATCAGTCTGACTCTCTTGACCATTATGAATAATATGTAATTATAGCTGTTAAGGGAAGTAACTCCAAAAAAAAGATCGGTGCTGGTATGTCCATGCCTTATATATACATTTTCAGTCAAAATATCTATAAGTCATAGGAAATGAAGATACAGTAATGTATATAATACAAAAACTAAATGAAATAAGTGGGTTTTGGAGAAATATTATGATGAAAAATTATGTAGGTCCCTTTTATCAACATTTTACATACCGGTAGGAAATGCATTGAGAATTGCAAAAACACTGATATGACAAAATCTAAAAAGGAAGGTTGGCTTGGTAGGTTAAACAATCCAGAATATAGCCTGCTTAATACAATTAAACCTACTCAAGAGTTCTTGAAAAATTCTATACGATAACCAGGAACTTTGCCAATTTCCTTTTAATTCCTAGGAACACCGATGCCTTTACATGTTAAAAATCGCTAAGTAGGCCAACCCTTACCCGATCATCGTTTGCTGAGCCGCTGTTTGATTTTCACCGTCGGCTGACATTTTATGAAAACCCAATCCTGAAATGTCGATCGACCTACGACCGACATGACAAACTGTCTTGCGATGGTTGGACAATGATCCTTATATTGACAATGATGCCTTATAATTTCCATCCTAGCAATGTTGAAGGAATCGGACACCAACGCAGAAAAAAGTATAACTTGTCCCGACAGACACAAAATTGGCCGGTTGACGCAAAAAGAAGAACTCAAAATCAGACAAGACAACACCCGATGAACTACCGACTGTCCCCCGAAGAATCCTATTTTTGTTTCAAAAAAACTTCTGCCATTGATTGCTGTCAACACTGCCCCCCCCCCCCCCCCAATAATTTTGCCAATATATAGAATACTATAGAAAACTTCGCTACAATATGTTTGTGCCTACTCAATAATAAAGTCTGATGACCTTTTTTGCCAAGGAATTTTTGGTAGTTGATAGTGCCTCCCAAATGAAAGTGTTTGGTTGCCCCCCACCCCCCTCAACTGAAATTGCTTCCTATGGGCCTGTTTTTACGTCGACTGGTTTCTGTATGCCTTATAATTTATATCCTAGCATATCTGATTTCAAACTTAAATCTGAACATTTAAAAAAGGAGATGACGAAAGTTCACAATACTTACATGTGTCTCAGGGAATCTTTTTAATCATTATTTTGGCTTCAAGCAAAACTCATTATTTGGATTTCAATGATTTCTCCATGATTTATTGATTAAAATTTTTCATAAGTGAAGTCTTCAATCCTGCTTTCATTGCAGAAAAGTACTACTTGAAAAAATGTCGGAGATAAAAACTTTAAAATGTTGGAAATAAAAGATGAAAATTTCAAAAAATTCCGGAGATGAAATGCAGCCATTGAAACTATGCCCATAATATCGTGCACATGTCTTGGAGTTAATCCACAATACACACTAATGTGTGTTTACAAGTTACATGAAAAACATTATTTATGGAATACATCCTTATTTTGGTAACAGATCAGAGATAGATGTAAGGAGTAGGTGAACAAGGCGTGCAGAATGCCTATAGCTTCAGATATGTAAAAAACCAAATTCAATTTGTGAAATTAGTATTAGTAAATTTCTTTTTATTGAAATTCCTGAAATTATGATAAAACTTTTCCGAGGAAAATTTTCCCGGCAAAAATTACACTGTTATTAAAAATTAATGGGGTATTCATGGGGATCGAACCCCCTAGCAATAAAAATCCTGAGTATCATTTTCCTTTGATACCAACGCGCTAACCACTACGCTATACAACTCCTGATAAATAGTGGCATTTAAATCATGTTTGTGATATGACCCTTGACTAAATGGACTTAA